CGCCGCCACCGCCGCCGCGTCCATTCATGGAGCCCCTCTACCCCCCCTACGACCAGCTGGTACCTCCGTACTCGCTTCCGCTTCCGCTGCCGCAGAGCCACACGGGACACGTAGTCCGCAGAAATCAGAGGCGGCAAGTCTTTCGCAGCGTGACCAGGAAGTGATTGTGACGAAAGGAAGCAGCGAGCCAGTCACAAATCAGATAGAAACCGGCTGGGGTGGATGCCAGAAACCCAGCCCCTGGTTTCCTCTTAAGGACCGCCCGGCCGGTCCTGACCCCTCCTTGGAGGAACAAGGAAATCATTCCTGACTCCAGCAGGGGGTGAGGATGAGCCGCGACGCCAGACCAGCCTGTCAGCAGCTTGGGGAGTTATAATACCCGGGTCTCCGCCCCCCCTCCACTCGATTCCAAGGGGGACACGGACACACACACACACACACACACACACACACACACACACACGAACTGCACAGGTAGGGGCTAGGTAGATGCTGAGTCAAATCTGGGGCCCAGCACCCTGGGTGGCTCAGACAGGACGGCAGCGGAGAAAAAAGGACACAATGGGCACAATTAGGTTTTGGCCTTTAGTCTGAAAAAGTGTTGATTGAAAGTGTACAACAGAGAGCAGGTGCAAGCGGCCGGGGCCATGGAGCCGCCAATAAAAAAGAATGTCCTTAAATAAAGTTCACAGAGTAAAAACCAGAACCGCCAGTCCTTCCCTCCAACACAACAGAGCACAGGCACAGAACCGGCGATGAGCCCCAAGGAGCAAGGAGGAAGGAGGCTGGGGAAGACAGCAGAGGCTCCCGGGTTGCTGTGTGGAGAGAGAGCCCTCTTTGGAATGGGCTGAGTAAAGCAACCCAGCTCCCCCTGCACACCTCACAACCACTGCTAAGGCTAAAGGAAAAAGACAAAACTCAGTCTCAGGTCCAGAGGGCTCAGAAAACAGTCTCGGTGGGCAGGGGTCTGGACAACAGCTAGTCCCGCTTGGCCTTCTTCTTGTTGTCACTGTTGCCATTTTCTTCAGCCCCCTCAGTAGAAAGCACCTCCTCCAGTTTCCGCTTGCCACTCTCTGGCTGAAGCTCTGCTGTGTTTCGGGGCTTGAAGCAAATGATGATGCAGGTCATGTTGTCACACCCTGTACCATCCCCAGAAGTGTCTGGTGCCAGGCACTGATCCAGCAGCTACAAAAACAATGGGGTAGCACGGCTTCAGGGTTTGAACGCATATCTAGAAAACTAAAGTCCCACTAGAGGGCTGGCCCTGCCAGACAGGGTGGCAGAAAGAGGGAAATAGGCAACAGGTTTCACAAAACAGCCCATTTGCTAGTCCATGAGGCATAAGGATAAGGCCGAGAAATGAGGGAAGATGGAACTTTTCTAGTCGAGGTTTGGCATCTGTCACTAATGAACGATACTCTCAGGCTCTGGTCTTAGAGTAAAGCTTGTCTGTGCAGACCACCCATTATCCTCTGTCCTGGGACTCACCTCTTCCACAATGGATGACAATAACCGAAGCTCCCCATTTTCATCACGCTGGCTGATCTTTGATTGAATAAAGTCTATAACTTCCTGGCTGCTCATCACATTCCTGGGCAAAAACAATAGTCAGAATTGTCTTTAGTCTCACCAAGGCAGAGCAAAGGAGTACAGACAGAGGCGACAACCTGGGTCAATGTGAACACCCACAGAGATTGTCCTTAGCTCTGCCTCAGGCTCGGAGTCTTGACACCAAGCTGTGTGCCTAGGCTCTAAACCTAGAGCAGCTTGAGTAAAGGTGCTGAACGCAGCCTAGAGGAATGATTAAGCCAACACAGCTCAGAGGCCTACATGAGAAGCAATGATGCAGAAAAAAAGGAAAACTTAAGGCATTCTGCCAGTGCTTACCAAATGCCATCACAGGCAATGACCATGAATTCGTGGTCATCAGTGAGAGTCAGCACTTTGATGTCAGGAAGGGCTGAAATCATCTGTTCCTCAGGTGGCAAGTTCTTGTTTCTCTTGTAGAAGTGGTCTCCTGAAATAAAGAAATAGTTGGTTGATGAGTAGTTTGGGCACTTCCTATAGACTTGTGTTTGAAGCCTTGCCATTCATATTCCTTCTTCACAAAGTTCCATAATCTAGTGGAATAGGGCACCGAGTTCTAGTTTTTCTAGTTCCAGCCTTGACTTTAGGTTGTTGAACCTTATATAAGTCACTAACCTGTCTTTTTCATCATCCAGAAGTACTTATCTTACCTATCTCATAGAGACATTTAAGTGCAGAGGTAGTAGATAGAAAAGTACTCAGAAAGATACAAGGGCTATGAAGATTAAAGCTTGCCACTACATTGTCTGAAATAGAGAACAAGACCCCAGAAATCTTTCCCATAGTTTTCTGGCCCTTACCAATGGCTCTGGAGAGGTTGAGGCCCCCGTTGACTCGCCCGTCCATGGTGACCTTGCCACCAGCATTCTTGATGCGTGCTAGCTCCACTTCATCCTCTGGTTTGTGGTCATAGGACATGTCTAAAGCTTTGCCAGCCTCAGATACCACACAGCGAGAGTCTCCTGCATTGGCTACAATCAACTGCTTTCCTCGTATCAGAGCCACCACTGCTGTTGTACCACTGTCAGAGCCAGGCTTAAGAGGAAGAAAAAGCATCATAGGAGCTTCTGGACACAAGCTCCTCATCAGTGCTCCCCATGCTTTCTCCTCTGACTAGGAGAGTGTCAACAAAAGGAGCACAGATTTTAATCTTTCCTAGGACAACAGCTTGCTCCTTCCCTTTTCTGAAAAATATCTACCCAAAAGACCTAGTTCCCTTTGCAGAATACCCCCATAACCATGACTTCAGTACTAAGATAACAAGGGGATCCCCGCTCCCAAAATCAAAATCAGGGGATTCATACCTGTCTCTTGGTTTTTCTAAATTCATTGTTTCCCTTCCCCACACACCTCTTCTTTGCCTTCCATTCCAGGCACCATCATCTCCTCTTCTTCCTCATCCTCTTCAGCCTCCTCAGTGTCATCTTCATCTTCTTCATTCTCTGCCTCTTCACTGCTGTAGCCATCTT